ACTTTTAGATTTTCTCCAGAATTTAACTAGGTTGTTTATAATGGCCTTGTAGATTTGCTCTACTTGTTACTCCTTGATACTGAGGAGTCTCTCTTTGATTAGAATTTTTCTTAAATACATAATTTAGTAACTTTTGAAAGGTTAAAGTATTTCTGTGAATTTTTTGATAGATAAACACTATGTGTTTTGGAAGAGTAATAACTTCCTGGCTTGATAAGTTTTACTTTTTTTCTTTGTTCAATATTCTTTTAATGTGGTTAATTATTTTGAAATATTTGGTGCATCCTGATTTCTTAGCTTTATACAGTTGTGACTTTATTAAAGAAAGATTGTTATTGGCAGTACTGGTTAAGATATAATTAAAGTTAGTCTGGGAGAAACAGGTAATTATAGATATTCTAAGATTTACTTCTTTTTTGAAATCGACTTTTTGCTGGTCAGTTGCTTTTTTCCAGTCGAATACTTTTGTTTGGCATCCAGGAGCTGTCAATTTGTGTTCGAACCAATCAAAAATTACTTGCACTTGCTTGTGGTATGTGTTAATTGATGATGAGTTGAAAGTTTTTGCATCTAGAACTTTGAATTCCAGGTGGTTGATGCATCAGATTTGATCAATTCTTAATATGCTTATTTGGATTATATGTATATATTCTTCTTTTTTGTCCATTGCTTTAATGATATCTGTCCAATCATGCAAGTAGTTCTAGATTTTCTTTTTTGGATTTGTTGTTGAAGCATTGATTGCTGATGTGCCTGATGGATATGTATTAAAGTCTCCTACCATTATTTGATGTACTGTTTTCTTGAATTTTTTAATAAATCTGATTAATGAATAAGTGGCTATTTTCTTTTTATTATGCTCATGTAGCAGGTATATGGAAGTAATGATAATATCAATTTTTGGCTTGAATTTGAGATGAACTGCACACCAGTATTCGTTTTCAATAAATGTTTCAAAGATATAATTGCTTAAGTCCTTTCTTAATATTAAACATAAGCTATTTTTTGTTGAGTCAAATGGCATGCTTGAGATGATTATTTTGTTATTAAGCTTCTTGAGAAGAGGATACTCTTTTAAGGTTTTTGTTTCTGAGCAACATAGGATTGTTCTTTCATTTTTGAGATTCTGGGATAGTGCTATTAGTTTGCTTTTGTCATTTAATTTGCGAACATTTAGAGTTGAAATGTTGAGTAAGTTTATAATATGGGTATTAGGAGGATTTGAGGAGAGGGTTTGTTGTGTGGGTATGTTTAATAAATAATTAAAGTTGGATAGTGATGTTATTTTAACAAATGAAGGGAATGAAATCAAAGCCAGGCTCTAGCAGATCTTCGGGAGCAATGTATTCTTCTGGTAGTCTGTCAAATGTGTATTTTTTGTATAGCTGTACTATTAATAAAGGTAAATTTTTATTATCCATAAAAAGAAAGTGGATTGAAAAGAGGTTGTCTTCTAATATTTTGTTAAGCTCCTTTACAGAAGGTAATGGTGGGTTTGGAGCCTGAAATCAATTCTCTGGAATGGTACAAAATTTATATCTCTTATGCAGTTTTCACATAGTTGGTAAGAAGTTATCTAATTGATAGTCAATGTGATCTCTAATATTAAAAGAATTGTCCACATCAGAAATTTTGCTTGGTAGTTTTTCTTTATCCATTTGTGAGATGACTGAATCGATCCACTGGAAGCCAAGAGGCAGGTTAAATTTAAAGTCTTTTTATAAATGTTTTATAAGGTGATTGATATCCTCCTTGATTTGTGTGGGGATACTCATATCTAAGTCATCTAGCAATAAGTTGGAAGAGCGAGGCAATGATCTTTTGAACTTATAGAAGTCCAGAGATAGAATTTTAAGGCTGTATTCTTTTCTTAAAATACCGATGAGCTCTCTTGTGTTCATTGTCATTGGATTGTGAGAAAAGTAGTATACCAAGTGCTCTAAAAGCAACTTATATAATGCTGGGAGTGGAACTTTAGATGGTGGCAGGTTGAAAAATGTTTTAGGCAATTTTGCGAGAACTTCATAAAACTTGGCAAGCTCCTTGATTTTTGTTAAGAGTTCTTTTAGATCTTTTCTTTCGGTGATGGGGAAGAGATACTTGGTTTCTTCATTGAGGTTCTTGGGATTGTCTGATAGTGAATCAAACTTAAAGAAGTATAAATCAGAAAGTTGAGAAAACTTGTAGTGTATTCTTAAAATAGATACAGTAGATGTGAACAATGATCTTTTTTTGATTGGCAATGGGCTTGGAAGCTTAATGATTATATTGGAGGAAATGGCTTCTGAATTATCTAAAAGAGCTAGTAGTAATTTGTACAGCATTTTTTTGATTAAGTCTAGCAGTTCGATATAGTTGATGGTACTGTCATTATTCTTTATGAAGTAGTTGCATCTGAATTTCAGAATTTGCAAGATTTCAAAGAATTTAAATTTATTCAGGTCTGTGAATCTAAGGCATATCACAAATAGTAACAAGTTGAGGATCCATCTGATTTTTCTTTTGATTCTTCTGCTAATATATCCAACGTCATTGATTTTTTTGTAGTTTTCATATGCTTTTGCTTCTAACTGTTCATATTCTTTTTGGTGATTTCCTTTAAGTAAGTTATTCTTAGTAAAAGATCTGAAGAAAGTTATTCTTAGTAAAAGATCTGAAGAAAGTCTTATCTCTTAGAAGGATTTTGATAAAAATTGCTAGATAGAGTTTCTATAAAATTGAACCTTTTGGAAGTGTTTTTAATTTTCTTGAAAAGATCTGCTACTGCTTTGACATTGTTACGGCAGGCTGATAACTGTGATACTAGATCAATAATTGTGTCATGCTCATTAAGAAAGATTTATTGTTATTTGTTATATACACAATGGTGGAGCCATCTATTGGGTAGCTACTTTCTAAGAGAATTTCTGCAATTCTGTTTTTTTTATTGTTTGAAGGTAAGATCGGTTACTTATTTTCTGATGAATTTCTGATAAGTAAGAAGTTGTAGGAGTTTTCAGAGTCTCCATATAGACTTGGATCATTGGTTGACCAACTGGTTTCAGTTTCTTCTAATATTTTTTTTCTTCTAATTTGATCTGGCATGAGCTTTTGATTGTCTGTTTGAACGGAAGTGCATTCTCTTGAAGGTTGTTTAGCTCTTCTTGTACTTGACGATCAAATTCTATGAGAGAGTTGGTGCTACCGATAAGGTTTGTGGTATCCAGAGATTCCATTGATACATCATTGTCAGAATACAGACTGGTTGGTCTGATTGTACTTCCAGATTTGTCATATTGATTGTCTGTGGTAACTGCATAGTGGAGATTGTCCACTTGCATTATGTCATCTTAATTATGCGTGTCATTGGTATTTGGTGTTGTGTGACCTGTTGTGCTGATTACTCTTGCATGCTCGTGGGTTGCAGGAGGTGTATGTGTATTGTCACTGGTTTTTGTTATTTTGGAACTGTTCGAGTTTTGTAGATCAATAGAAGGGGTAAGCTGTTTGGGTTTTTTTTTGAAATTTGAGAAAGTAGCTTTTTTCACTTAGAATTTTCAGTGAAGTTTTGTTTAGTAGTTATTGATTCCTCATCCTGAACTGGTATGTTAGATGATGTGTGAAATGGTGCATCCTGAATTTTTTCTAAGTTGAATTTCTTATTGCTTTTAATAATATTAACTTGATTCCAGAAAAGATAGAGAGTATAATTGAAATTGCTATCTAGGAACTTTCTTGTGATGGTTTTCCTTATGCTTAAGGTAAGGTTATTCTTCTCCTGATATTAAAAGAAGTCATTAAGATTGTTTTGGGTATTGTTTTTACGATTGTTGATAGTTATTGAAGCCATTATATATAAGTAGGAAGTAATAAAGTCAGTTGTTACTTGCTTGAAGTTAATAAAGGCTGTGTTCACTTGTGTAAAGCTGCTGTTACTTGGATTTTGTAAAGGAACAATCCAAAATTTGGAGAAGTCGACTAAAGGTGGAATGGATACATTTTTTGCTGGTTCAGTAATTTGATATTATTTGAGTTGCTTTTCTTGTATACTATAGAAAAGAATTAATCACTAAGGCTTGTTACTATGATATCCAAGAGGATGTAAAATGGGCTTGATGGCTTGCCCTTGAGAAAGGAGCTCTCAAGAGTACTTGTTTTGTTTCTCCTAATAATTTTGCCAGTTACTGAAAAAGAAAATTTTTAAGTAATACAAAATTTTTGGAAAAGAGTTTTTTATTTATATTTTATTTTTATTATTTTGAAAACAATTTATATTTATATTTTATTTTGAAAACAATTTATATTTATATTTTATTTTTATAAAATGATTTGAATATTTTTTTAGGTTTTAAATTTTTAAAGAGGTTTGTTTTTTTAATTAAAATATTAATTTCAAATTTCAAATTTAATTTCTATTGAAATAAATAAATAAATTATTTCAATACTAAAATTTTCAATTAATTTAATACAAACAATACTTTTTCTTTATAGATTATTATATTTATTTACTGTATATAAAAAAAACTTGCTTTTTATCAATAATTTATTTTTTATATAATTTAATATATAAAATACACTAGCATCTTTAATCCCGGAGCATAGCTCGGGTAAACAAGCTAGTGAAGAACCTATAATTAAGTATCGTCCTCCTTTCTTAAATGGATTAGAATTTGATGCCTTCTTTAAAAAATATCAAATTGCATTAGAAGTAATAATACTAGATGGCATAAAATTCGAAGATATAGTTAATCGGGATCGGCATTGCGTAAGGTAACGGAATTTTTCTTATTGAGGTACAAAAGAATACAAAAAATTAAAAGTTTCGTTAATCAATCGTTTAGCCTATAATCACTTAATATCTGAATCACAACTATCGGCATGAGGAATTCTTAACACATGATTTTATTTCATTATTAAACTTTTAACGTTGAATTTATGGTGTAAATTAAGTTTAAAAATCACGTGAGTTACATTGTGTGTTATTACGAACAATTTTCATAATTTAAATCTTCATATATTACTTCTGTATTTTCCCACGTTGAATTTGTATTTGGAACCCATATCCAATCCCGAACTGTAGGTCCGTTACTAATAGAATCGGAAAGCATAATTTTTTTTAATGAGCTTGATTGATTTTTAAGCCCATCATCCTGAGAATAAAAGTATAAAAATTAGACTAAATTTCTTATAAAATCCATAAAGCATAAGCATATATAAAAAATACTCACCACCAATGCGTATAAAAGTTCAAACACTTCAATAAATTTTTCGACTTCTTCGAAAGAAAATGGCATCATAGCTGACTTGATTTGCGAAATCTTATAATAAAGTAATTACATTACCGATACATTGCACCATGTAGGTACAAATATTCCTTACACCTTCTGCACTTTTGTCTAATAAGTCTCTAAGCAAAGCGACCAAGCCAAAAACATACCCTCTTTTATAAGTTTCTCCGTGTCTTCTCTAACATGCTTTAAAACAGGATCTTCCGATCCTCCTGATACTTCGATAAATACGATTTCTTTATTGCTAGAAACCTTAAAACCGATCCCGTCTACTTTATGTAACGTCAAATCAAATTCCGGAAACAACATTTTCGCACCTCTATCCAATCAAATGTGTATTCCCGGTAAACAAATTGAATAGCTTTAAATAAAGGAACGATTTTATCAACTGTATATTTTCGTTCCCCGATATAACGATTAAAAGGTCCCTTAATAGTCATGGAAAAGCTATATTTGTGATAGTAAATTAGTTGCAAAAAGAATATTTAAAATTCTGGTAATATACTTACAAATCGAAAAGGATGTTTTTGCAGACTTCCCGAAATGGATGATCAGGATTTGGCGTACTCATAATAGCATTTTCAAATGCACCTTTTTCTGACTAATTAATAAATATTTTTAATATATTTGACATAACATTTGAAAGAAAGTTATATTTGCCTACCGATAGTACATCTACAAGCCAATTACGAATTTCTTTTGGAAAAGTATCAACCTTCTCAGCTTTCATTATCACACATTGTTTGTTGACGTTTACTGAAAAATGTCTGACCAAATGTTGCATAGTTTGGTCACAAAGTGTTGATTTTTGTGGTGTGGTTAGGGTTATTTCGCGTGGTCTTGGAGGCGGTGTCTTAAACTGATAAATAACAATTACTTAGTAGGGAAAAATAAATTACATAAAAATCAAATTTAATCTCAACTTACACTATCATCATTAGGAACGATTATAGAATGAGACTTTTCAGTATCATTTAAAATACTTGAGATGTTCATTACAGATGCATTTGTCTAAACGATATAGATGCATTAATTCACTTGATTATTATACTAAAAAACAAAAATAAATACATGATCTTTAGAAAGAATGAGCTAACCTCAAAAAATCGACTTTGAGTCTGCTCGATATATTGGGCTTTGATTGTATTATCTCGAATAAGCTTAACTTGTTTTTCCAGTTGTTGATCTCGCATGTGTATATAGTCCAACTATGAATAACAAGAACAATGACAATTTGCACATTTTTATGATTGAATAATGTCGCTGTAACAATAAAATTTACTCACATCAGAAGATTCTATTTGCCACAGTTTTCTCTTCCTTAGTATATCTATATTATCGCGATTTCTCCAAAAAGCATTTACATCCGACGAATTTTTTTCATCCTTAAAATGAAGAATTATTGATCAGTGTTTCAATTTTACTTGGACAAATAAACTAAAGGCCGAGTACTATTGAGAAATAGCATTTGACTCGTGGTCAGAAACACCTATAACACATGGTCAGTAGTGTCACGCTATTTTAAGACTGTTGATAAATCACTACCGACTCTTGGTCATCACTGTGCAACTTCGTGGTCCCACTAATGTGTAGCAACAATAACTCATGGTCTACCAAAAATCATCAGATCTCTGGCTTATCAACAGCCTTCTTTTCAGAAAAAAATTACAACCTGTCAACTTCTCAATATCAGCTTTGCCATTTCTCCTTTTTCTCCATATTGAAAAGAAATCTTTCTGATTATATCGATAAAAACGCTATGTTCATTGTAACGTCCGCAAAGTTTGATTTCCATTGGAGATATCCCAAAAGCGACCAGCATTTCGGATCAGTTTGGTTAAAGTAGTCCATTACGTATACCTTATTTCTACTTAATTAATTATTCACGACTTAAATTTTAAGTGACGCGTCAGAGGATCATGAGAAATCCTATATAAATGCAAACATGTGACTTTATTGCTGATCGTAAATTTCGATTTTCGATTTCCGAAATATACACCGGAATAAAATCCGATCACTCAAAACATAATAAGTACGGAAATTTCACTACAAATTCGTCTGCACAAGTGCTGCATAGTTGACGCATCGATCCATCACCACTTCGCATGATCACATTTAAGCGTTTTTGATCCACCGAGATCATTTCTTACGAATCCACAATTTTCACACGTCTTTGATGTATACTTTTTGATGCATTCAATGACCCTGCAACCTCTGAACTCCTTCAACTTATGATGTAAACCTGAAATGCGACCATTTAGCATTGTATCGCATGAACAGTATTTGATTAAATCTTTTGCTTGTTCTTCAAATCCATCCTCGAAGACTCGAACTTGGATAAAAGAATGATCTTGTAATTTTAATTTAACCAACGGGCCAGCTGATGATAGTACTCACCGATTAAATTACGGATTCGTTGTATGATTCATAACATCTTTTTTCTTAATCAAAATCTCTCTTTTCTGTTCTTCCCAAAACAAGATTTTTGTCACTTTGTAATTTGTCATATTTCTTAGATAATTTAAATATTTTATTAAAATCACCGTTATCCCACTCGATCAATTGACCGTCAGAGTCATAACGGTCATAAACGTGCGAACATCTGGATCGAGCGAAATTGCCTTTCCCCAAACATCATCTTATTTATCGATGATATCCAAAGGAACGGAAGCACACAAGTATTGTTGATATCTGGTAATTGTTCCAAGGTGATAATATTTTTTAAAAATACGTATTTTCTCTGTTCCTATTCCAATCTCTAGCAAGAATCAAGATGATTTGTATTCGATTCTTTCTTGATCGGTACTTCATTCGAAAATTATTTCCATGCAACATCTTATTTGTTTTGTGTGCGGCCATCAATTGTCGAATCGTGTACAAACGTACTTCCCTAGGAGTCTCTTGGATTTCTTCAGTTGTGAAGTACTCATCGTTCAGGTAGTGATTTCGTATAAGCTCATGTTGATGATTTCATCATCCTACACCATCTTAAGAACCTTGTTATATGAGCAATTATCTTTGAAGGTGACGAAACGATGGATATGAAGTACTTCATTTCCAGTTGAGACCTGACCCAATGTTTCTTATTTTTGCCTGAGGTACTTGCATTGCCTGTCAAGATCCTCTTTCTGTTTCTCTGGGTCGACCCTTGCGTAATTGATCTTTTTCCTTTCAATTACCTTTTCATGATATATTTTTCCGATCTCTTATGCTTCACGATACATTGTCTTGATTAAACGGGAATTATTTATATTTTATAAAAAATATTAAATCATCAACAACGGTGTGATGATGATAATTCAACATTCGTTGCCATCAATAATCAGGTAAAATAATAATTATTATAAATATATGTAATATTTACATACCGTATTCTATATTAGCTAATACAGTATGGGATACTATTTGATATAATAAATATGAATGAATTTTCTATAAGAATTATCGTGGGATTAAATTAAAAGAACTTCTACTAATCGGTATATCGGTAAAAGTTGTCTCTATTGTCTCGAAAGATTTATAATTCTATGGAGGAAAGTACTGCTAAACACCCTTGGGAATAATTATCGTGATACTGTCACCAAATTCTCCCCATTTTATTCTTTGGATGGCATAGGTCGAAATCCAGGAAATAAAAACAATTAGCCAAAGTATCGATCCAAATATTGATAAGTATATATCTATTTTTAACAAAGGTAATTGCAAAAAGTAGAACCATTAATTAGTGTGTGTGATAAGTATCGCATTGATCGAAAAAAGGAGTATAAGAATTATACCGCCATTTCGATTATGGTAAACAGAGAACATTTCTGAACACGTATTATTTGGACTACTCACAATTTTTTATTTTCGAACCTACATCAACACGTTTTAAACAGGGCCACATGTAGATTGCATTGACAACCCACAGCCAAGGTAGGAACAGGCAACCGATAAAAAAATATTTTTTGCAGATTGAAATGACTTCATGAGCTGGGGTTTTCGGTGAAGGCGGCATTATAATATTACATGTAAAAATGAATGTCGCGATTTAAAGTAATGTGTCGCAATATGCATATATGCATATTACACAAGTCTACTCTTGTTCTTGACAACCAATCAAATGGACCTTCGCATTACGAATACGTTAAATTAACCTTCTCTTTCTTTATCAATAATTCGTTCTTCTCTATGTATTTCATCACTTCAACTCAATGGGGTATCAACAAGAGCATTGGAGCAAAACAGACAACAAAGAAAGGCGCAGATAACATCTCGAAATGATGTTATTCATAATTTTAATAAAAATATTACATGAAAATTTGCCATCGAATTCAACAAATTCTTTGGAGAATAGATCCATGGTGAATATTATGAGTTTCTTTAATGAATTCTGATAACTCTCGATCGCTGTCGAAATCGCTAAATTCTGCAGATAGAATGCTGATGACAAGATACCTCCGGAAGCCTTATCGTTAACATCACGTGAATATGAAAATTTTTTCCACAAGTATACTCAACTCTCCATTGTAGAGGATCGAGAACTGCTGATCTTCTAGGAGGGAATAAGAAAATAAAAATCTGATACCACCAGCTGTACCGTTAACACAAAAGGAGTTGAAATGATCGTTAAGACTTTTCGGAAAGGAGAGTTCATTGGACAACAAGATCCCATTAAAACTGGCGAAGACCTCTAACGGATGATTAGTGATAATAATTTGTGCAGATTTCGTTGATTTATAAACCCCATTGATGACATTAATTGTAAATCACTATTAATTAACATACATCATACAGAAGCAAGAACAAGGCAGATAACCAGCTAGCGATCATATTAACATAGATAACGGGGAATCAATTGGTTTTTTCGAAAATCTAGCTCCCAGAAAAAGCAACAAATATTCCATTCGGATGTGTAATTTCTGAATTGACTGAAAAAAAAATTAACAAAGATACTCGGAGCAAGAAAAAAACGGCTCACATCAGTCCCAACCGATTTGATATGAATCGACTGTTTCTGACTCAACTCCTGTGTAATACATCAAAATTGATAGCATAATGAGATTTCATGCGAAAATGATGGCATGATGGGTTTGAACAAGATATGCAATTTTTTCCTCAAACTTCATCAAAGAAATGACTCGGGAAAGTTTAACGTGTTGTCAATGCCCGCATTAGACAAAGTCGTATTAAATAACATCAATGGCTAATCCTATTCCATGCTTATATGACACGACTGACTCCACCTAGGCGTGATTTTTTATTAGCTTAATCTTTAAGCAAGTGCTCTCACTAGTAGAAGAAAGGCAATAAACTTTTTAAAAAATAAAATTTTATATTTTTTAATCTGATAGTAGAAAACATATAACACTTGAATTTATGCATAAACTATAACCTATACTTAAATACTTACAGTATCTATGATAAATTATCTTTAGATATAATCTTGAAGATAAATAAATTTGATTTTTCTTATTCTTTTGTTTATAAGAAAAATTGTTTTATTGTTTGCAATTCATTATTATAATTGATTTAAATAAAATTTTTTTATTTTTTTATGCTAACTGCACTATATGCACGGATTTTTATTAATCATTTTTAAGATTACATCTGTACATGGCACAGTGCAGTTTAACCAGATATATCAATTTATACCATGTGGGTGGATCCATATATCAGTATTTGAAGAGAGTAAAAATCTTGTCACCAGTTTAAACTACCTAACCTTTCTAAGTATGGAGCAGAAGTATACTAATTAAGTAACTCTAGATGCCTTATCACATCATATTCTTTGTTTTCATGCAGTCACAGTATCTCAAAGGACTTACTTGAACTACACTTTTTAGTAAATGTTTCAAGAGTTGTTTCTATAGTTGGTACATACTATCAAATCTGGAGATATGACTTCTAAATCTTTTAGTAAATATTCTATAGACTCTTAGTTGGCTTAGACTGTCAAATCTAGAAGTATAAATATCAAGTAGGACACAACTCCTATAGAATTTGCCCAGATATCATCCATGCAATAATATTTCCAATTAGTATTCTCTTCAAAGTAACTTAGCTATAATTAATATACTGATTAGTAAAGGAATTGATAGGCAATTAAACTAAAAGTCTTTTCTTATATAATTTGTTTCAACCTGTAATTGTCAGGAAGATTAAAGGTTCTATATTCATACAATCTAACTGGATAAGGACCAGATCCATATTTTTAAGACCAAATATGTAGGAAAACTAAAAAATCTATATACTAGTATTATAAATATATTTGTCTCCTATGTGTATTGAACTAGGGACATGCATTTGAAGACCTGGAAGCATTACTTACTGTGTTATTGACCTATAAGTCTTTTATTATTTATTATTTTATTTCAAATTATTTTTTTTGATTTTATATTACATTGTTTTTTTAAATTTGTTAAATATTGTAAATTATTTTAAATTTTGAAAAAAAACAATACTTTTGACTTGTTATTTAAAATACTTGTTTAAAATAAAAAAAACTGTTTTATTTTATTTATTTATTTTAAATTATTTATATACAACTTTGTAAATTTATTATAAAAATTCAATTATTATTCTAACATTAACAAATAATAATAACAAAAACATATCTTACTCTTTCTATAATAATTTCTTTATATAATTTACTATCTATTCATATAGAAAATATTGAAGACAATAAAAAATTTGATATAATAATACAAATAAGATTAAAAATATATATATATAAACTTAAAAAGTATTATAACAAAACAAATATAACTTATTTAATAACTATAATTTTGAATTTAAGATTTATTATAATATAAATAATTGAAGTAAAAAATAATTAATCAA